TGTGTGCGTGACCGTGGTGTGTGCGTCTGTATGTACATCTGTGTGGGACTGGTGTGTGCGTCTGTATGTACATCTGTGTGTGACTGTGGTGTGTGTGTCTGTATGTACATCTGTGCGTGACTGTGGTGTGTGCGTCTGTAAGTACATCTGTGTGTGTGACTGTGTGGTATGTGCATGTCACTGTGTGGTGTGTGTGCGCGTGTGTGTGGTATGTGTCTGTGTGGTGTGTGTCCATCTGTGTGGGTGTGTCTGTGTGACATCTGTGTGGTGTGTGTACGTCTCTGTGTGTGCGTCTGTGTGGTGTGTGTACATCTGTGTGTATCTATGTGGTGTATGTGTGTTCATCTCTGTGTGCGTCTGTGTGGTACATGCGTGTCCATGTCTCAAGCAGTCATACAGCATCAGTTAAGGGTCACCAAGTACTTGTCCAGGAACTTGTGAGGTCATCAGAACCCTCTTCATCTCTCGGGAATTCTGGTGGTTCTCCAAGCTGTATAAAAACTGGCTGACAGACACCACATCTTATCTCTGTTTGTCCTAATTCTGTCCTCCAGGGGCTTTTGCTACTTTAATTCTGTGGCAGTGGCAGCCAGACTTCTACAGCAGAGACTGCATGTGAGCAAGATCCTCATTGTGGACTGGGTGAGCACAGCCCCCTGCCCCCCACACACACAGAGCAGCCCTGGGGACGTCCTCTTGTCCTCCCCAGCAGTCCATGTGTGTGTGTTTGTGTATATATGCAGAAGAAGTAGGATTTAGACTTGGGAAAGTTAGCTTTCTGGAAACTATCTCAAAGATAGCAGAAAATTAAAGCCCCACTTCTGCTCAGAGTCACCTTACATTTTCCGTCAGCCAAGCCTGCCACCGGCCCTCAGTTCGGGGGCCTCTTGAAATGTGTCTATGGTTGAGGCAGCGCAAGGCAGAGACACTTGGCAAAGCCTTGGAAGGTGGCTCTGTGGGGTTGTGCCCAGCTGACCTGGGAGCCCAGGATGCGCTCCGTCCCGCCCCCTGCTGCAGGCACCACAGTGAGAAGCCCTTCCTCTGGCTTCAGTGGCTGCTGACTTGTGTGGAGTGGGGGGCCACTGAGCCCCCCATGCCTCCCCAGAAGAGGTGCCACTTCCCCAAGCCCACTGCTCCCAAATGTTACATCTTTTTAAAAACGTCTGAATTTGAATTCCCAAAATAGGCATACTGAGTCTTACACTGGGCATAGACACTCAAGGTGCTTGTTTCATTACTTCTTTTTAAGTCATGTATGTACAGAGGGTGCCAAAAAAAGTATATACATTTTAAGAAAGGAAAAACTATTTATTAAGATTGTAATAATATAAACTGATAACAAAAGATGAATGCAAGTCACGTTTGTCTCCTACAATTAATTACAAGATGCGCTCAATGTGGCTCCCATCCATCTCTGTTAACGCGGATACTGAGTGTTAGAAATTAACCCAGGATTTTCCTTTCACAAAATGTGTGCACACTGCCTGGCACCCTCTGTGCATACATAGTGTTGGTGTTCATAATTCATAGTGTTTTTACAGAAGTGAAAAAGCAGGTCCATCGGGTTGTGATTTGAATTGTAGAAATCCTTCTCAGTTTGGGCTAAAAACAACAAAATATGACCCAGGGTCCCACACGAGCTCCCAGGTGGGCAGGCTAGTTCTGTAGAGAATGGGCTCACCTGGCCTGGGCAAGTCACTGGGGGTCTTTGTTGGCCTAGACCTGGAGCCAGTGAGCCTTTCTGTCACCTTCTTGTAAGGGAGAAAGTGGAAATGCCACAGGGGAGAGGTCTGAGACATTTGGTGGCTGAGTCTGGGGACCCATCTGTGTCCACCACGTAGGCCCTGTCAGAGCATTTCGGGTAGGTGGGCAGCCCGCCTCGACACTGTGTGGACATACTCACTGAGGGTATGCTGGGGAGCTATGCGTGGGGGCATCAGGCCCTCTGCGTTCTGAAGCCACATGGCACAGGAGGCTCCCATGGTTAGGTGATCCCCTAGTGGCTTCGTGGCCCTGTCCTCACTATGGGTGTATGATTGCACTTTCTTGTCCCCCTCAGTGAGCACACGGGACCTTTGGACGTGCCCTGTGGAGCCCTAAGTTCCCACATGCACAGCCTCTGACTCGTTGCAGTTGCTCTCAAGGACACAACTATTGTGACAGGGTTGCCCCTCACCCACCAGCCCAGGATGGACAGGCACAGGCCTGGCTGCATGTCCCCTAGTGCTTATCTACATAGTAGTTGTAAGAAGCAGCTGGTGGTGTTAGCACAGGCCATTCCTCACAGCCCACATGACATTTACCCTACTATCCCCCTATGTCTGGCAGGGCCTTGGCACCTCGAATGTGCCTATCAGTGGACAGCCACAGTCTGGACACCCCTCAGCTGCAGGAGGCTAAGGAAATGGCTCACTGGTCAGAGACGTGACAGGAGCAAGGATTTGTTTGGAAACTCAACGGCCTCCAGGCCTGGCTGTGGCACCAGCCCCTTGATCACAACTGTACTCAGGGATATGCTACATGCTAAGGATGGGAAAGGGCACCACAGATCTGGGCAGTGCCCTTGGAATCCCCGCAGCTCCCCACCATGTGGCCCCCGGCCCAGCCCCGCTGAGTGCAGGCCTGGCTGGAAGCACAAGGTCAGCCTATGCGCAGGGGCCACGGTCACTGCACAGGTGGGGACAACTCCTGGGGGGGTCACACCCAATGCCCGGCTGTGCCCTGAGTCAGCTCCCCCTGCTCTTTAAGGATGTACATCACGGGAATGGGACGCAGCAGGCCTTCTACAGTGACCCCAGCGTCCTGTATGTGTCACTGCACCGCTATGACGACGGGAACTTCTTCCCAGGCAGCGGGGCCCCTGACGAGGTGAGCAGGCTCCTGGCAGGCCTGAGGGGAGGGCCACTCGTCAGGTCAGGGAACTTGGCCCACACTGCCTGCCACAGAGGAGAGGCCAATGGTAGCACTTGCTCGAGCCCAGATAGCATTTGCAGTCAGACGTCTGCTTGGGTCCCGTTGCGTGTGCTTACGTGGCCTGTGTTTTGTCTGAAGTGCAGATAAAAACCTGGAGACCGTACCTGGTTCCAGCCTAGGCAAACTGAAGCACGTCAAGCAAGTGAGCCCACAGTGCCGCCTTCCCCCACGCAGGGCCCGGAACAGTGTCCCAGGTGACGTCCATTAAGGATGCTCGGGTCTGGGCACTGCGTCCTCCATCCACTCACCTGTCCTGGGCTATGTGGCAGTTGCTGAATGGCAGGCCCCAAGTCCCCTACAGAGGGACCCCATGAGGGGAATTCCCCTAGAGAAAAGACTCATCTCCTTCTGGGCCTTTCTTCTTGACAGGAAGTGGGAAATGGCAGTGTCATCACATTTTCTGCCCCCAGAGAGCCAAGTCTGATCACTATGTCAGCCTGGGACATAGACTTGAGCAGCAGATCCTGGCAGTGCTACTGGGGGACATAGTATGTTCCCTATGGCTAAGAGAAGGGCTGTTCCCCACCAGTTCAGGAAGGGAGACAAAAGCCTACAGTGTCTTATAGAAAACACTCCATGTCAAAGGCAGAGTAGCAGGGCCTGTGGGAGGCTGGCCTCACAGTGCCGTGTTCACACATGCCAGGAGCCCATAGCACCTGGGCTGTTCCTATGGGGGCCACCTACATCAGGTATTCCTGTCGGCGAGGTCCCCTGGAGGGTCTGTGACGTGCTTTCTCTCCTTCGGGCACAGGTGGGCACAGGGCCAGGCATGGGCTTCAACGTCAACATGGCTTTCACTGGCGGCCTCAGCCCCCCAATGGGAGATACCGAGTACCTGGCAGCCTTCAGGTGAGTCTCCAGGCTTCTGCCCCCGTGACACTGGCAGTTCTTCCTTAGTGATGGGGAGTACACCCTCCGTCTGTGCAGGGAGCACTCAGCAGAGATCAGCGTTTCTGAAGTTCATCTTTAGGTAAATGGGGGCTGCCTTAGCTCATCCTCAGTGTCAAAGTGGGATCTTAAACCACCTTCACACTGCTTAGGATTCCCTTCTGTGCATTCAGTAAAAATCAAGAGTCCATCTGGAGTCCCTGTAGTAGGAAAGTGGCAGAGGTCAATAGATTAGGACTTTTAGCCAAGTGCAGTGGCTCCCACCTGTAATCCCAGCACTCTGGGAGGCCGAGGCAGGTAGATTGCTCGAGCTCAGGAGTTCAAAACCAGCCTGAGCAAGAGCAAGATCCCTCTCTACTAAAAATAGAAAACTAGCTGGGTGTGATGGTGGGTACCTGCAAGTCCCAGCTGTTTAGGAGGCTGAGGCAGGAGGATCTCTTCAGTCTAAGAGTTTGAGATTTCCTTGAGCTAATTTGATGCCATGGCACTCTATCCAGGCAACAGTGAAACTGTCTCAAAAAAAAAAAAGAAAGAAAGAAAGGACTAGGATTTTTGTGCAAAGTGGTATATTAATGAAAAACAATGGCACAGATCTTAAAAGATTTCATAATATCCCTGTTTTTCTTCCACAAAGCCTTTGTGAGATGACGTGGGATGGTAGTGAACATTTCTCTTTATTTACATAAAAAACCCAGAGGACTGTGGCCTTTGCACTTTGGAGGGAGCTGCAGAGTGATTTTTTTTTTTTTTTAAAGCAGTGTTTTTGTCACGTGGTGATTTCTACTTTGATGTAGGCCATCCTGGAGTAATTCCTGCATCCAAATGCAGACACACTAGAGGTGCAGGTTTCTTACCATGGTGGTTTGGAAATGGCACCTCTGCCTGCCAGGGTGGGAGGTGGGGCCCGGGGAAGGTAGAGCAGCCCCCCAAGGCCTTGTGAGGAAGACAGCTTTGCTAGTGGGCTAGGAGCACTATTCCTGGACAGTGGAGCAGAGCCCGGGAGTTTTCGGGAAGTTTCCCTCTATCTGTCTCTCTGCCCGTGGTCTTGTCCACATGTGTATGCATAAAGGGCACACTTGTGGGAGCGCATGTCTGCCGTGTGCACGTGTCCAGGGGTGTGCATGTGCCTAGGTGCGTGCACACCTCTGTGGGGCAGTGCGTGTGTCTGTGTATCTGCCTCCCCATTCTGCCTTTCCCTGGCATGCTTGTCCGTGTGGGGTGGGAGCCCTTGCACAAGGACACAGCTATAAAAGTTTTGGTACAGCTCTGTGGGTACCCTGAATAAGTTGCATGACCCTGTCAGCATCTGCTCACTCATCTTGGAATGGGGTCCCAGTGCCTTCTTGGGAGGGTAGCTGGGTTGTGGAGACAGGGCAGACATGGGTCCGTTGTCCTAGTTTGTCAGTGGTCTGTAGAGAAAAATAGCTGCATCTGATTGCGTAGAGCCAGAGGTCCTTTGCTGGACACAAGTCTGTGCACAGAGGTCAGTCAGCTCCTAGCAGACATGCACAATCACTTTTCCCTCTAACCTTGTGGGTTTGGTTTTGATGTTTCCTCTTATTCTTAATCAGATATAATCTAAGTTTGACAATTGCCCTGCCTAGTTTAAAGGAGAAGGACTTTCTCAAATTGACACAACATCTGAAAATTTGCTAATGTGAACTCTGAACTCATGGAATGGGGCTGTCTCAGTCTCTGTCCCTAATACATTCCCTGCTGGTGTTACTGAAAACTGGCTGCCCTCAAGGCTTCCTAAATAGTGCTCAGATACCATGAGATGTGCCAAAGTTGCCCATCAGCTTTCTTCCTGAGCAAATGTTGGTTCAGGGCCCAGTGTGGCCAAACTGATGCAAGAAGGCAGGACTCTCTGGACTGGGCAAGTATAAAATAGGGGTTATCTCTTCTCTCAGATCAGCACTCGGCAGATCTTAACTAGACTACCTCGCCTCACGGCATTTCTTGGTTATGCCTTTGAGTCTCTGATTCTGGGGTGAAAAATCTCTCTACTTGTGTCCCTGGGGCAGGCCCAGGCCCCGGGCAGCTGGCTGGTGTGTGCCCTGAGGTCACACGCCTCCCGGACCCTTGGGCCCAGCCTTTTAGGGTAAACTTTTCTTTTTGAATAGCTCTTGAGGTGTGCTTTAATCTTCTGCCAAATGTGTACATGATAATACCTTATCAAGTGAACTTTTTAAAACTTAAATAGCCTCTTTGAAAAGGAAAATTGTTTCAGGGTTTTTATTGATTGTAATGTAAAATAGCACTGTGGAGTTTAGGATTTATGGTTCCCTGGGTGTGGGTGATGGGATGAAGGGTCGGTCCTCCTTTTCTGCTGTCCTCTCCCCTTGGGGGGCCCCTTGGGACAATTCATGCCTTAAAGGCAACACCTTGTTATTTAGACCCGTTGCCTGCCACGTTGTATTTTCAAGGGATCAAGCATAAGATGAAGCAAAGATAAGAAAATTGCCCCTAATGAAATCCAGAAGCAGCCAGGACTTTCTCCACAGGCTCAGAGAGTTGTAAGGAGAAAAGGAAACCTTAATTCAAACCAGTCCCAGTGCCAGACAGGCTTTGAAGTTGGAAGTTGGGGAGCAGAGGGAGGTCTGGGGAGATGATGGTGTACTTTGTTAACCCCTCTATCCCCTGTTCCTGGTGACTGAGCAGCTCTGTCTCTTAGCAGTGAGGGACATGGCACTGACATTGTTTCCACTCATTGTGTAGATGTAAATGTGGGGCTATAAGGTCTATCAAAGAACACTATGAAGTGTAAGTTTAATCTCTTATTAAACACCGGCCTCAGGCTGCAACTGGACAGACCCTAGTCACTCCCTGCAGCCTGGCTCTTTGAGCCTGAGTCTCTTCCCTAGGGTGCAGGGTGGGGGAGGTGGACAGCTCTGGGTGGGCTGTGCCTATAGCACAGGTACCTGCAGTTTAGGGTTAACCCTCTGCACGTGGCCCTGGCTGCCCTCACAGAGCTGAGTTCCCTGTGGTCGCGTGCCTAGGGGTGAAGAGATTTGATCCAAACTCTTTCACTTTCTTTTCTCAAGACAATTATGTCCCTTTGGAGCATTCATTCTTTTCTGTGTAGAAATTTAGCTGAGGATATTCTGTATTTTTAGAAGCCAAAGATAACAACCTAAAAGCTCAGAGCTGAAAAATCCAATGTTGAGGCAGCTTCATTGTCCTGTGGGCAGAACACAGCTCTAGTGTGGGAGCAGCAGGGGACTGAAGCAGGCCCTGAGCAGGTGCAGTAGGACCTGGAAGGGCCAAGGTCCAGACAGAATCTTGGGAATTAGCGTGGCATGGGGCACCACGGAGGAGCAGAGTGTGGAGGTACACCTGCTTGCCTGGGCTGCACACAGCATCGGGGGTTCTGCTGAGTAAAGCATCCTGGTAGTGTAGGTGGTGGGCATGGTCCAAGGATGGAGTAGCCAAGGATGAGGGCAGGTGGTCCTGGGGGTTAGCCCATGAGTGGACGACAGAGCCCAGCCAGGCCTGAGCCCTAGGGACGGAGAGGAGGACCACCCCAGAAACACAGAGGAGGAGATGGGCTGAGGGGAGTAGGAGCTGACTGGGGACACCATGGAGTCTCGCGGGCCGGGCACAGCCAAGGAGGAGCAGGTTTGGGTTGGAGCAGAGAATGGTTCAGCCAGGATGGATGCTGGTGTTGCAATAGAATTTCAGAAGATAAAGGAGAAAGTGTCTGTTCAGGTTGACTGGGAGGCCCTGCTGACTGGGAGGGACAAGTACAGCAGATTAAGGCAGAGCAAAGGGGTGTGAGGGGCAGTAAAGGTCCTGCCCTTCAGAGAACCTTGGGGGGCCAGGGGATGGGAAGAGCCTGCGGGAGGCTGCTGAGTCCAGTGTGCCTTGGGGGGCTGTCTGGAGGGTAGGGTGGGTTGCAGGTTTCTATGCAGATGCTGAGTAAGCATGTGCCAGAGAAGCCCACAGAGCAGCCCCACCGCTTTGGAAGGTAGGTGGTGGTGCTGGGGCAGTGGCAGATAGCCTGAGTTGGAGGGGTGTGGCCAAGGGACTGGGAGCAGCAGAGCCCAGCACCTGCCACCTTTCAGGAGGGCCACAGGGGCTGGGAAGGCAAAGAACTTAGAGGCTGGGGGCACCAGGGGCTATCCCTAGCACATAATGTGGGGAGGGTCTCGGCCTAGCCTCAGTGCCCAGCTATGCCCTACACTCATGCACCTTCACTGGTGCAGCGTCCGTGAGTGGCTGGAGGTGAGGGTGTGGGTGCTGCTGTCCACGGGAGTTAGGTGGGAGCAGCTGGGCCATGTACTTTTTATCCTCACCTGACCCTGACTCTTAGTGGAGTTCTGACACTTAGGACAGACCATGGCTCTACCACTGGCCTGGCAATTCTGGTAGAAACCATGGGTTTGGCCAACTCTCTCAAAAGGGATACCAGACACAGCCCCCAAAGTGCAAGAGCTTGGGAGGCCCCACAGTTGTGTGGTGTGCAAGTGTGTGGGCAATGTCAGGCTTCAGGGAAACACAGGGTGAGCTCCCTTCCTCACCCTAAAAGCAAGCATGTGCGCAGCACTTGGGATTTTCAGTTATCCAAATGCTATGGTGACTACATTTTTGTTGTCTGTTACCATGGCAACAGCCTCCTGTGAGCTAGGTCTGCAGACTGAGCAGCAGCTGGGACACCTCTTGTGCACTCTCAGCTGCTGACCTTTCGCCATAGCCTTAGAAAACGCCACAGGGGCCCAGCCTATAGTCCCAGTACTCTGGGCACCCAAGAGAGGAGGATTGTTTGAGGCCAAGAATTTACTATTACACTGAGCTCTGACCATACCACTGTACCCCAAGCTGGGCAACAGAGAACAGCAAAAAAAAAAAACAAAACAAAACAAAAAAACCATGGAGAAGAAGCATGGAGCCACTATGAGCCTGCATAGGTGGTAGGTGCTCCCTGGCCATGTGACCCCTCATGAGAGAGGAACCAGTTCTGGACCTTTGTGGGACAGAGAGTCCACCAGAGACACAAGATGACATGTGGCCCCTGGACCAGTTCTGATGGAGCCTCCAGGTGCTCGCTGGCCATGGACGGCCACAGCACCACAGCCCTGGCAGCCCTGTCAGTTTGGTTTATTCTGAGGCTTGTGCTGACCACAGGTTGGTGGACTTTGTTTAGAGCCCTGGAGGGGAAGTGGATTGAGAGGTCATTTCTTTCCAGCTGTTGAGTGAATTACTGCTTTGAGATTCATTTGTGGATTTTGAAGATTATGTTTACATCTGCAGTGCACATACAAATGGCTAATATGATGTGTGCTTCACAGCTCTTAAATGCCCTGTGTCACTGCCTGCCACCAACCCTTCCATAGAGCTCTGCTGATGGAATGGTCGGCCTCTTAAAGGTGGCAAGCAGGCCACATGCCAGGCTGCTGCCCCGCCCTGCGGCTTCCTCAGGGAGGCTGCAGGAGTCCTTGTGCCCTCCATGTTGTGGCACAAAGGATAGTAATGGAGGGATGGCACAGTGCTGCATTGGGATCGCAGGCCCTGAGGCCTCCACACGGTTCCCCTGAGTGCAGGGGCTGCACCCCCCTCAGCGGCAGCACTGCGCTATCCTGTCTGTACAGCACATCATGGGGTTGTCTCTGGGCACTGAGCAGTGGCTCCCTGGTGTGTCACTGCACCAAGGCGTGTACCTTGTGGACACTTGCCCATCTTCTCGTGGGGACCTGCCTGTTTTTACCCATTATCCCTGCCTTTGAGTAGATGGTCTGCTGCCTAGAGAAGCGTCAGGCCCTCCCCCTCTGCTCTCAGGTTGCCCACCAAAGGCCCAGGTGACCCCATGGAAATGCTCACATTAAAGCAACAGGATGGAGATAAGCCCGACAGCACGTATTTACGTGGCCTCACTTTTTAGAGACTAAGTTGATTATTAAAGCTTAATTCTAGAAAAGTGGCCTCGCTTTCCCAATGTCCTTGCTACACCTATTAAGCAGGGGCGTCCCTTCAGCTTCCCTCCTGCATAAGGGCCACAGGCAGCACCGTGACTCCGCCGAGGAGAAGCGACATTTCTGTCACCTCACACACAGGTGCTGGAGACAGCTCACGTTCAGATCTTAGAGGTACACATGCACTGTGCCCGTGTCTGACCACACCCCCTGGCTCCTGTGTGGCTGACCAGCCCGCACCCGCCAATGGAGGCATGTGTGTGTTTTGTTTTAACTGGCTTTCGGGCAGTGCCATACACTAACCCTAGACCCCAACACTCTGTTGGTATGAACTTCATTTCACAGTGATTTTAACAGGACCTTTTGAGGGGTAAGGGGATTAGAAATGAAGTAGCTCAGCAGAACTTTAAAGCAGAGAACTAAAGCCCAAGTGTGCACTTGCTTCAGAGTGGCTACTGAAGCTCTCTGGGAAAGACACGGCATCTGCGTGAGATATCTGTGGTTTTCACTAAACATGTGTTGGTTGAAACTATATTATGCTGTCCAGAGGAAAAGTTTATGTAGGAAGAAGTTCATTAAAACAATTAGAAACCCCCCCTCCCTCAGATGACACAAACAGCTGGAAGCAGAACAGTGGCTCCCCTAGGTCCTGCCACCTCTGGGTGAGGTCACTGCAGCAGCCCAAGACCTCAGAGTGGACCGTGGAGCCCAGGCACCCCTGGGGAGCTGTGGTGCCAGCCTGAGCACCAGTGCGAGGTTCTGTCCAGCAGAAGCAAACAGACTCCCTGATTCTGAGCGTCCTTCCATCTTGCCACTGACAGAGACTCTCCCAGCTCCAGGCCTGCACAGGACAAACACCTCGTTTAATGTTTACAAAATCTCTACATGTGCCGCAGTCCCACACAGGAAACCTGTCAAAATCTGGGGCTGCTGTGATGTGCTAAAGGACATTACAGAAGCCCTGTGGACAGGGTCTGGAGCACAGGTTGGCAAACAACAGCCAAATCCTGCCACCTATTTTTTTACAAAATGCTTTTGGTGCACGGGGACACGCTGACGTTGACGGATACCCGTGGTGTTTTCTGTAAGGGTGGTGTCTGGAGGAGCTGACAGCCTGCATTGCTCACAGGCCTTGGCAGGGAACATTCACTGACCTTTGATCTAGTCACATGTCATGTTTCTCAGGACTCTAATATGTGGCCCTCAGGACGCAGATCCTGTGTCCTTTCAAAGCACTGTCTTCACCTGTTATGGGGGCAGTGAGTTCCTCAAGCCGTATGGATCAGGTGCATCTTCAGAAGAAAGAAAAGACAGCAACAGAAGGCTGAAAGCCATCAGGGCCTTCTGTGACTTCCCATTCCAAGGTCCAGAGTGAGCTGCTTAGCTGGCAAAGCACAGCGGTGTGATGCACTGTGGGTCTGGGCAGACGAAAGCCACATCGCCCTGTCCGGTCACCGGGCCCGTGTCCTCCTGCCCACCCGCAGTGTGCTTCTGCTTCGGGCTGGGCACTCCCGCTGACCTGGCACTGTCCACCCTGCCAGGGTGGCAGCGGGGTCTTTATCTTGTGTGATTACCCCTGGGGTTTTATCACATCCACCACCTGGAACAGAAGAGCTTTCAGGGGATCTAACGCCACAGTCATCCTGAGAGGGTCATGTCTGATTCTGAGCATTTTTGTTTCTTTTGGCCAAAGTTGATGCTTTTGCTGATATCAGTGGGGAAATTTCATTTTGTATTAAAAACTGAAGGAGAGACAAGGGTTTCAGGGCTAGCCTTTCTTCCCCTCAGCTGAGGAGTTTCTGGGAGCTCACTGGAGGCGTGAAGCAGCCCTCGGCAGTGCCCCTGTGAGGGGCCCCTGGAGATGTCTGAACCCGTCCCTTCCACGTGCATGGGTGTGCAGGGCAGCCTGCAGGGATGCGAGGTGGTCACTTGATGCAGGGTGGGCTTGGTTGAGCAGCTCCAAGGAGGATAGGAAGGAGTAGGCAATGGTAAGATCCTAAAATGTGGGCTTCTCCATCAAGGGGTGGAGCGAGGACTGGCCGGTGCATGACAGAATCGTGCCACCCAGGCTTCATGGTAGAAACACGTAGCAGGCTGGGGCTGGGAGACATCAGGCCATGTCCTTCTTGAGGTCATCACTGTCCCCCAGGAAATGGAGGTCGTGATTCTCCCATGTTACCCACTCAGGGGTGACAAATGAAACTGCCTTGACTCCCTGCAGCAGCCGCCACACAGAGAACGCGTCTGTGGCACATGCAGACGGGCTCTGCAGGCTGTAGGCTGCTGGGGCATCTCACACTGACAAGGGCTTTTTCTACTTCTCAAGTGGGATATTTTCCTGTTTCCCTAACACACCTTAACCACAAACTTCTCGGTGTTGCTTATGTTTTCTAGTCAAATCTCTTGAACTTGCCATCAGTCTTCCTTTAAAGATCCTAAGTCTATAACTGTTTTTCACTTCACCCTCACATGTGTGTGTGTCCTGTGGGGCCCCCAACGGTGGCAGAGGAAGTGCCTGGGCTCCCGAGCAGGGCTGTGGGCCTCCAGCCTCACACTGAGATGAAAAGTGCCCTGTAGCAGCCATGGCAGCCTAACTGGCTCAGCAGAGTGGCCACAGGCCTGAAGGTCGTGGAAGGGAGGACCTCATCTCTGGGGGCCTCCCTGAAGAAGTCAGGGGTGGGGCCTGGGAAGGTGTGGGGGCAGAGATAGGAGGTCAGAGGATGGGGCAGGGAAGACAGGAGTGGTGGAAGGGTCAAGGCTGGGGAGGACTGTTTGCAGGCCAGGCAGCTGGCTGCAGCCCCCAAGGATGTGCAGCAGGTGCTGTGGGGTACACACCTCTGGAGCACACCCCGAGCAGCATTCCACATGCACTGGTGTGATGGTGTGCACTAAGCTGGGCCCGTGGGTTTGGGGTAATGGGCTCTTTAAAGGTATCTATCAACCAGGCTGTGATCGCGAGGCACTGAGTTCCCTCTCAGTGTGAGTATCCAGCGTCCAGCCTGCTGCATCACAGCCTCGTGGTCTCGGCCTCTGTCCAGTGTTTCTCTCAGCTCTGGCCCCCCTACCCTGTAACACCTTCTCCTGCCCTTTGCAGAACTGTGGTCATGCCGATTGCCAGCGAGTTTGCCCCAGATGTAGTGCTGGTGTCTTCAGGCTTTGACGCTGTGGAGGGACACCCCACACCGCTTGGGGGCTACAACCTATCTGCCAAGTGTAAGTGGGCCCTGGCCTTGGGGGCTGAGGGCACATCCACAGCTGATCATGCTTGTTCTGTGACCACTTACGCTCCGTATGTCAGGGCTCTCCCCCTAATGAGAGAGAGGGGAAGTCGCCTTTTCATCCCTTACCAGAGTGGGACAGTGCTCACATCTAGTCCATTTGGGTCCCCAAGGACCTGGCACAGGGCACATGAGACTCCCCAGGGATCCCGGAACCTAATAATGTGCAGGTGCCCCCAGCCCTGCTTAGTGTGCCTGAAGCTACCTCTACTCTCTGAAAGTCCCATTGTCAGAGGCAGGAGCAGCCCTGAGAGGCCTGCAGGGATAAGGAGCTGACTTCAGAGTCACAGGGGGCCCAGAAGGCAGAGGCCACGCTGTGGCATGGGAAGGGCTGACAGTAGCACTGCCCAGTGGAGTGCACCTGGTGTACCCCCTGGTGTCAGCACCTCAGGCCACGTAGAGGCCTGTCTCTCCCCACCTCCTGCAGTTGCCAGTCCCTAGTATTGGAGTCCCCAAGCCTGGGACCCTCCAGTGGCCTGAGCATCCCAGGCCCTGGACTTCTTCAAAGCCCTGCCATCTAGGGCACCGCCCACCCCTGCCCTTGTCAGCACAGGTGGCCTCTTACAGTCCATTAGTCCCCAAGGCTGTGGGGCTGTGGCCAATGAAGTGACCGGGCAGAGACACCCTCTGTGCTTGAAGCTTCACAGTGTCTGGCCCAGAGTGCCACCACAGCTGACCTCCAAGTGAGTTCTCGCAGCCTTGAAGCCAAATGGAGAAGGGCGGAGGCTTCAGGAAGTTGTGGTCTCAGGAGCATTCAGCAGCCTGCATTGCGACACCAGCCCATGACCTGTGCTGCTAGCTGGCATGGAGTGGTTCCCGGCTCCTAGTAAAAGTCAGGCTGGCCTGACAGGGTTGAGGATGCAGGCAACAGTGCAGGGATTTATACAGAACACGTCAGATGGCCAGTACCCAGCGGGCCCCTGGCTAGGCCCTGGCCATGCTCTGGCAGCTGCAGCCCCTCTCGGGACATGAAAGGCAGGTGGCCTCTACGTGGGTCTTTGTCTCCTACACCAAATTTGCTGTGTTATAAAATCTAAGCCCTGAAACCATAATTCATACTCTCAAATAAACCAAAGGGACCCCAACCAGAATTCCACAGCAGATTTATTAATCTGACCTCTGCAGTGTGTATCTTTCCTGCCCTGACGGGCTTTTGTGACATGATGTGATGTATTTATGTGACACCTTACCCCCGGCCACCTGCCCACCTCACCCTCCACGCTGCTCTTCTGTTTCCTATTGCAGGTTTTGGATACTTGACGAAGCAACTGATGGCACTGGCTGGTGGCCGAATTGTCCTGGCCCTTGAAGGAGGCCACGATCTGACCGCCATTTGTGACGCCTCTGAAGCGTGTGTTTCTGCTTTGCTAGGAAATGAGGTACAGAGACCCCACAGAATGCCCCATGTTGACAGGCGTGGCGCTGTGGCCCAGCCTGCCAGCATCTAAAGCCAGGAGAGTACATCGGCCTTCCTGGCTGTGTGTATGCATCCCACCCTCACCTGTGGGCTGTCATGAACTTGGCAAAATGCTTTCATTATGCAGAAGAAGGGGGCAGGAACTGGCAAGAGCTCTGTTCTCTTGCAAAAATCATTCAGCACCCTGTTTTGAAGGTGCCTGTGTTCAGTGTCACTGTCCTAATCCGTGTGGGTTACAGCAAGAATGTCCATGCTGAAACATTCAACTTTTCCTGCCCTCTACTTTTCTCTTCGGACAGTTCACTTCTCACAAGTCCTCTGGTGGGTTTAGGGGGCATCACCTTGCATGCGTCTGGGTCAGCAGCTCAGGGGTGTGGAGTCTATTCTGCCTAGTGCCCTATCTGCTGTGCTGAGCCCACAGAGAGGGTGAGGCATCACAGGAGAACAAGTACACTGGGAGAGCTCCGTGCTGCTGTGGGCCAAGGGGATGGTGGGAAGGGAGGACTGTGGGTGCCAACTGCATCCAGCCGGGGGGTTCTGGGCGTGTGACACAGCCAGGTGTACATTCCATTCTGGGTTTCCAAAAGGAGCCCTCCTGGCACTTTAAGTCTGTGTAAGTGTGGGTCTGCACAGCTGCCTGAGCCTCAGAGCTGAGCTTGGCCTGTCTGTATGCCAAGATACTCGGTGCAGGCCCTGAGTGGGAGAGCTCAAGGGCCTGCACCCCCCAGTGACTTGACCACCCAGATAGCAGCAGGGAGTCCTGGCCTTGCTGAAGGGACACGGCAGCCCCCTACTCTAGTGGCTTCTGCTGGTTGTGTCACCCTCGAGTTTCAGCGTCCCACCTCACCCATTTTTAAGTATTAACCATTATAAAAAATTGTCCCCAGACTCTGTCTGGGGAACAAACAGCACTTCATGGGTGTCCCTGGTCAGCACTTGCTCCCTTCCTTCCCCCAGGTGCTCTCAGATGGAGGCTTTGTCTCCAGGCCCCCCAGATATAGGAGCGTAAATTGGCAGGTGCACCCACAGCCACACTCCTGCTCTAGGCAGGGGTCGTAGGGGCAGCAGCCACCCTGGGACATGGTTGGCACGAGCCCCTTCCACAGAGGGCCTCTCTGCAGGGAGCTCACCTGCTCACTCCAGGACAGCCCAGGCAGCAGGAAATAGTGCTTGGGGTATGAATGGGGGTACATCACAGCCGATAGAGGGCTACAGGCCTCCTCAGTTAAGCACACTATCTCTGGGTCTGGTGGGCAGGCGTCATTCTAGGAAATGCAGATGGGGCCAAGAGTAAACCTCTGCTATCTGGACCCTCTGAGACTGGAAGACTGTCCTTGACACATGCAGCCTGCCCAGAGGCCACAGGGCATCATGGCCCTGGGGTGACTCAGCGTGCAGCTGGTGCTGCTACTGGACTTCTTGTCCTGAGCGTTGAACCAGTGTGTACCTATTCCCTAGTCTGAACTCCGTGAGGCAGACAGGGGATCTCCAGGCAGGTTTTCATAGGGACATGACGATATCCAGCCAGGTTCTCTGGCACGACAAATGATAGGAAGGTCTTCCATGAAGTCACCCAGGGCTCTGAACTCAAGTCGTTCCTGGTCAGCGTTGTCTCCTTTGACTTGTATGATCTAATGGCAGGCACTGAGGACAAAGGAGGCCACAGCCATGCCCTGCCCAGCTGCATGTGGCTGGGCTTAGAAAAGGCAGCACTGGGGGCCAGCATAAGGCCTGCCCAAGTCCCTATGTGTCCACCACAAGGGGGCCAGCTAGGAGAAAAGGGATGAGTAAGTCCTAGGGGAGAAGTGGGGCAAGGTGAGCCTGAGCCTGTGGGACCATGCGAGCACCATGCCTCTCGCGGTCTTCGCTGGAGCAGCTGTGGACGGTGGCCAAGCTCAGGGGCAGCAGGCCTCAGTCTGAGGAGTGCCTTTGAGCCATGTGTGTGCGCCCTGCAGCCTCTGGATTCATCAGAGCAGGTCAGAGAAGCTGCTCTGACATATAGCCCCCAGGGTGCCGGAAGGCTTGTGGCAGCAGACTGAGGGGATGGACAGGTGGCTGTGTTTGCTGCCTACAGTGGCTCCTCCTCCCCCAAGGATGGTAGAGCCTCCCTGGCCACATGTAGCAGGGTGGAGCCCACACCATGGCGAATGCAGTGAAGGGATGGTGGTCACATCAGTGTAGGTCATGAGAGACCAAAGATCCATCACTGCCAAGGAGGCTCGTGATGGGCTTGAGTAAAATGCTAGTCTGCTGTGCAAAGTACCCAACGCATCTTACCCACCCTTTCCTCACAGAAACCAAGGCTCCCCCCTTCTTGCTATAGTTAAAAGGTGACTGATATTATACTCAGACCATCCTGAGGCTTTATGGTGCTCGTAGCTGGTTATTTTAAAGTAACAATAGAGAACTCAGCTTTCAACTGGGCCCATTCTTCCCAATGTGTGTTTGCTCCTCTAACGAGAAAATGTTCTTTTACTTAAATACATCAAAAAGCAGGAAGCACTGGTTTTATCAAGATCTCTTTAAAAATCCCTTTAATGCCTGAAAGTTGGGACTCAGCCCCGTTTCTCTGCCCAGCAGCCTTTGATGAGGCTGATATACAGGGTGCTGGGCAGTGGGGCACGCACATGCTGGCCGCCAGCTGTGGACGTCTGCAGCCCTTGGAGACCCTGTACCCGACGGGCAGCTGAGTTATGGGGTGCACACTCCATGTGCCTCTGTTCCCCAGGAGCAAGCCTTCTGCTTGCCTGTTGGCGCTGCTCCCAGCAGCAGTTTTACACCACAACTTCAGTTTTTAGTCATCTGCACTGGGGGACAGCAGTGAAAAGTCCCCTGAAGGTGCTGCCTGCTGCCGTTTAGGCCACAGAGTCGAGGGTGGAGGCCAGTGTGGAGCCTCCAGCCAACTCCTTCCAAAGATCTGCCATGGATGATGGCAGGAAACCATGGCCCAGCTATCCACAGAGAGGAGCCCCCGACTTCTGGGGAAAGACTGTTTTTTCTCTCAGAGATTTTAGCCAAAGCCATGCTTGCACTTAGTTATGTGGTGTTTCAGGGTGCACAGGACCTGCATAGGGTGGCAGGGGGTGCAGTGGTGAGGGAGCTGCTCACCCAGGAGAAGTGGGTGCTTCCACCATGTTCTGATACCCTGAAAGGTGTGGATGTGAAGAAACAGAACAGTTGCATGGGGGTGCAGGATGGACAGGGGTCATCTGCACACACCCAAGGACACAGCCTGCCTGGCTCTTGCCCTGGAGACTGTGTGACTTGCTGGCTGAGGTGCTGAAGGATGTCCTAGAACACAGCCAGCTGGGCTGGCCAGGACAGTGCGTCCTCCACCGGTCTTACAGTTGCTCTTTGTGAGCAACAAAGGCGGAAGAGGGAGAGCTGGTCAGTCTGGCCTCGGGGAGCCGTCCTGTGGCTGGGTGAGTGGGTTGGTGGGCATTGAGAGTCTTCTCTCCTTATCCTCCCAAGGATGGGCGTGAGATCCAAAAAATATGCTCCCTGCCTGCTAGACTCCTGGGCTGCAGGTGTCCTTCGGGCAAAGATTTTTAATTACTGATTCAGTATCTATGATTGTTACGAGCTGGCCTGGGTCACTTGGCCAGCTGTGTGTGGAACTGCCCTGTGACCCCCTTTGCAGATGTGCTCAGTGGGAGGGACCCCTGAGTGGAGCCTTTGCCTAGGGGTGGGTAGGAGGTGCTGGGCAGGGGATGGGCCGGGCGCAGGGTGTGACAGCCTCCCTGGACCGCCTGGTGTATCTGCATGTGGACTCCTGGGCATGGCCCTGACACCATGGACCATGACTCATCGCTATGTTGATCACTGGCCCTGGATACCCTGGACATGCCTCAGCCCTTGTCCTGTGGGTACATCCAGCTGTTCTTATAACCCCCCCTCAGCTGCTGGCACAGCCATGTCTCCCGGGAGTGCTGTTTCCATCCCTGGGCAGCGAGGTCGGAAGCCTCATTTGTCCCCCCTCCCAGGTTCCTGCTGGTTCACTGGGAGTCCTGGGGTCTTAGCAGAACTCATGCTTCTGGGCACTTACCCGGCAGCACTCTCTGAGGCCTGGCTTTCAGGTGTGTACCCCAACCCAGAGGGTTTACAGCTGCTTCTGGCTTAATGCCCTGGCCTCAGTGCCCAGCTGCAAATAGGACTGCCTACTGCAGTGCAGAGCTGGCCTCTCCTGTGGCAGGCTGTCAGCGTGTGCCTGTTCATCCTCACACACGCTCCCAAGAGCAGCCACTCTGGCCCTGGCCTATACAGCCCTGGGTTTGCCCCACTGCCCAGTGACCTCCCCAGTCAGGCCAGTTTTGTTCTGGACTCAGCGTATTTCCCCTGGTTTTGCAGGCTTTTCAGTCATTTGAAGCTTTTTGAATTGTCTTGGTGTTTTATAATCTATTTCAGCCAAACATTTCAATTGCTGTGTTGCAGATGGCGCTGGTTTGCCCTGGTGCCCTGTATTTTTCTTATAAATTTACTTCCTGTTTTTATCTGCTGCCACTCCTTAGGGGAATCCTTGGTACAAAGGATTCTATTTCTGAGAGATGCATTCACTCACTCCCTTCCATTTGCTGTAGCCTCCACTTTACTGGGAAAAAAGCAATATCAAGACAGTTGAGCATTCTTATTTAGAAGACCAAGGATATGAAAGTGGTGCTTAAAAAAATAGAAATCATTTTCCCTAGTATGAACCTATGGCATAAATAGTATCTACCAAGCCTGTCCCACCACCCTAGTCCTGGGGACCATCTTTCTACAACTTATAGGAACCTACAAATATTCCCTAATAGCCTCCAAAAAAAAAAAAAAAGAAAAGAAAATTAACTTTTGTAAAAAATTTATAAACAAATTACCAAAGCCACATTTGGCCTTTAAAAGTTGCCTCCCCTTCCCTTGCCATTGGGCCGCTGCCCTCGGGGAGCCTGCGTCTGGCCCTGCCATGAAGGCGCAGGCGGAATGTGTACAGCTCCACGTTCACTGTGTGTTTTTTGCAGCTTGATCCTCTGCCAGAAAAGGTCCTACAGCAAAGACCCAATGCTAATGCTGTCCGGTCCATGGAGAAAGTTGTGGAGATCCACAGTAAGTTGCCTGGCAGGTCCCCAGTCCCCCACCCCATCCTCACTGCAGGCCACTTCCCTGGCCTGCAGGACAAGGCTGTGCTTTCCTGTGGCACATGGGGAGATGGTAGTCCTCCCTGGCTTCCCCAGGACCTGCTGGAATGATTTCATTTTCTCCATTTTATACATCAAAAAAATTGTGGCCTAGACAGTCTCAGTGTGAAGTCATTTTCTTCCAGTCCCCACTAGCAGAGTGGCCATGGCCTGTACCCTGGACTCTGGCCTCATCCCTGGACCAGAGAAGCCCATACGTACCCTGAGCTCAGGGAATCCCAGCCCTACAGAGGGACCCAGGCGGGTGCAGGCCATCAACTCACAGTACCGCCCCAAGCAGCAGGTCTTGGGGCCAGAGGACTCATAAGACCATACCTCTCTCAGGTGCTTCTGTCACACCCTGTCCTCTGCACAAGCCCAGTTTGCTATAGGCCTTTGATGTGACCCAAATGGTTGAGATGGTCAACAATAAGGGGGTAAAAACCGAGACCTGCTCTCTACTTAGCTGTGTGGGGTGTTTGGTTCCCTCCCTGGGCCAGCCTTGTGGAGATGCCCCTCATGCTCAGGCCTGACACAATGACCCCACCCAACCCAGCATGTGCTAGTGTCTGGAGGGGAAAGCCCTCTGCCCAGGCAACAGCCCCTGGACTCCCCACTCCCAGGGCCAGGAAGGCTCCACACCACCATCCTGCACCTCCCTGCCAGCCACCCATGGAGATGAAGGCCTATGAGTACCAGGGCCAGGTCCTGCAGGCCCCCTCCTGGTCCTAGGTGGTCCTACTTCCACCTGGGATGCAGAGACATTCCCCACCAAGATTCCCAGTCTTTGTGAGTTTGAGTCCATGCAGTCCCTGGCTTCTGTCTCTTAAAAGAAAGATACTTTTAAAGTCTGTGGAGAGCCCAGGGCCTCAGCGTGCCTGCCCTGCACAGTCACCAAGCAGCCCCCCTGCCCTAGGTAGGTACTGGCGCTGCCTGCAGCGTGCGTCCTCCACCGTGGGGCACTCTCTGATCGAGGCGCAGAAGTGCGAGAACGAGGAAGCTGAGACGGTCACCGCCATGGCCTCGCTTTCCGTGGGCGTAAAGCCTGCCGAGAAGAGGTGAGCATCTGCCCCTCCCCCTCCACAGGCCCTTGTAGAGCAGTGACACTTCCTTCACATATACCCACGGCCTGACAAGTATACCCAGGCTGCCCTGTGGGCGAGGGATGGCCCACAAGTGTCCTACCCGACTCTCAGAACAGGCCAGCCTGGTCCCCCGGCCCCATGTGAACACCACTTAGAAATGGCAGTATGACCAGTGGCACTCAGCTATGGGGTAGGCCCTGACTGCTGTAGCAGGCAGGGGCACAGCAGGGGTGGCAGGTCTGTTGAAGGGACAGTTGCCAGAGGCCTGAGTGTCGCTGTTAACACACTGTCGGCTCTCTCCTGTCGGTGCCCTTCCCCCAGACCCGATGAGGAGCCCATGGAGGAGGAGCCGCCACTGTAGCCCTTCGTGGAGCCTGTTCTCCTGTTTGTTCGTCTCTGTCTTGAAGCTCAGCCAAGAAACTTTCCCGTTCGCGCTTGAGTCCCGCCACGGTGCTCTCCTGGAGTGCCAAGGGACACCAGGCTTGTGGCAGCGACGGGAAGCCTTTCTGCCAGCCGGCCCCGCGGGTCTGGAGACGCACATGCACAGCCTGGGCGTGGCAGCCTCTCACGGAACACGGGACAGACGCCAGCGACGTGCAGATGCGCGGACGCAGAAGCCAAGCACACTCTGGTGGCCCCCCGGGGACGCTACGGAAGAAGGAAGCCTGTGGGCAGCTAGTGGCAGCGTTGCGGAATTAAGTTGCCACGAGGAAAAGAAAAAGGAAATCAAAGATTTAACAATACAAAAAACTTGATTAAAACTGGTGCTTTAAAGTTTGATTATTACTCACAAGGTTACAGTCTCCGTGTAAACCACTCAACTCATCTTGTAGCTTATTTTTTTTTAAAGAGAAAGTTTTCTATGGCTCTGGCCCGCCTCTGTGAGCCACAGTGGTGTGTGGCAGGGTCTGCAACCAGGTGGGCAGAGTGACGAACCTTTAAAGAATACAAAACTGGACAGAAACAGGAACGTGAGCCTGGGGGAGTGGGCTTGAGTTTCTCGAAGCCATCGGAAGATGCAAGTTTGTGCCTTTTTTTTATTGCTCTAGTGGGCTTTGTGGCTGGGTTTTCTGAAGCCTGAGGAACAATGCCTTAAGAAAACATAAACAGCAGGAATTGGAGGGCCAGTCTCCTGTGGCTGGTGGAGTCTGGTCTGGCGCTCCGAGGGCAGGTGCCAGCTGCGGCTCCAGGCCGGGGCTGCGGCCCAGTGGTCCTTGTTCTGCTTTATCACTATTTAAGAAAAATGGAGGTAGTTCCAAAAAAGTGGCAAATACTGTTGGGGGTTTTGAAGTCCAACAAATTTTGAATGAATCCAAAGTGTTCTTTTCTCACACGTTATGTAATAATTGATCATCTCCATTGGTTGTGAAGCATGTCGTAGGCACCCTTGCAGTGTTACGGTCGGAATGCTTTTTATTAAAAGCAAGTAGCATGAAGCATTGCTTAAATTTTAGGTATGAATAAATATATATATATATGTATAATATATATTCCAATGTATTCCAAGCTAAGAAACTTGATTCTTACGAAATCTTGATGAAAATATTTATAATGCATTTATAGAAAAAGTATATATATATATATATATATAAAAAATAAATGCAGATGGTGAAGGTCCCTGTGAATGAATGGCTTGTGAATCAGCTCTAAAGGTGCTTGTGGAAGGGATCTTGATTAAATTGGTGTATTTTTGAGCTCCAGGCTGGCTGGCTTTCAGATCACCAACACATTCGCCACTGGGCAACTACCCTACCAGTTTGTACTTTAATTTTAATTATTTCCTAACAAAGCCCTTTTCCTCTCCAAACCTCCATGCACATATGTATCTAATGAGTTTTTATAGCAAAGAATATAAATTTGCTGTTGATTTTTTTGTATGAATTTTTCACAAAAAAGATCCTGAATAAGCATTGTTTTGTGAATTTTACATTATTTTTCACCATTTAGCAATTTTCTGAATGGTATCATTTCTAAATCTTTTTCCTTTTGAAATTCTTTCTTGTACATTTTTTTAACTTTCAAAGTTTTTTTATTTTTTTTGGTTTTGTTTATTTTTGTACAGTGAGCAGTTTTCTGCAGTGTACAGGAATTGTTGCCATCAGAGTTTATTTTCAGAAAGTAAGAAGAGCGACACCAAGGATTGTGTCTTTCCTAGTCAGTCATAGGAGCTGTATGAAGAAGCCAGAGGGCTTTTGTTAAATTCAACACTAGTATTACAAGGAGGATGTGTTCTCACTTCTGTGGCAAGTGCAGGGACAGCAACGCACAGTGTGGGCCACCCTGCTGGGCTCCGTGGGCAGTCAGCATTAATGAAACTCTCTCAATTTAAGCTTCTCTGGCCACATCTTCAGGACAGAATTCTAACTTCAGTTTTCCAAAGACCTTTTAAGCATGTCGGCAATGCATGGGGCACGCATGGGGCTTTTCACCTGGTCAGGTTTTTCTGCGGCAGCCACATGGCTGGGGCTCAGGCTGGAAGCAGCCAGCCCTGGATTTTGGAGCCTGTGGCTGCAGAGAACCCGGGGCCTTGCTGTCCAGTGAGCCTGCAGGGATAGCACAGACCTGCCCAGACAGCCAGTCTTCACTCTTTGTCTTTTTGACGGTAACTGACAGTCACTTTTTATTGGTAAATTTTCAGCACTTGAAGCCACCAATTTCATTCCAAGTGTATTAAGTTCAGACTTGTGGTTGGAGCTTCAGACCACCGTGCTCAGGAGGGTTCCCAATCAAGTTTCTGACTTTGGTAAAGTTTACAGGGCAGCTTCTGGAAGAGACACTAACTCAGTCTGACTTCCGACCAAATGAACAGAAACCCTTGGATTCTCTTGGCGGCTGCCCGCCCTGGTCCTCTCTGAGACGGTGGCGTAAGAGCGGGGCAGAAAGGTCTTGAGACCTGTTTGATTTTCTCCTCCCTACTGGCCACTCTTTGCTCCAGAGCTTAAGTTGGCATGAGGAGCTGGCACGTAAAAGCCGATTTGGGCCATTCCCCATTTGTGACACAGAGCAGTGGCAGGTGCCAGCTGGCCAGGGCTTCTGGTAGCCTCTGCCCCACTCTTGGCATGGCCCTCTGAGGAGCCTCCACCTACATGCTCCCAGCCGAGGTTCGTGGGAGGAATGCCTCATCTTACTTTTGGGCAGATGAGATGACATGGCCTGCTCGGTGGTCAGGTTATCGCTGGAGGGATTCACTTCCAGTCTCATTCAGATGGAGATACCCCTTGCGCAAAGGCCTGGCAGGCAGAAGCACCCTTCCCTTGTCAGCTCACTCCAGCTTCACAAACATGCTGAAAGCATTAGCGTGTAGCCTTTTCTTTGAAGACACACTTGGCCCTTCTCCAAGGCCAGCACTCTGGGCCAGTGATGGAGGATCTATTTGCCGTGGCATCAGTGGGCAGGACCACACTGGAGGGTTCCTTTGGTCCTTGGACCTTTAGCCTTTTTTTTTCCTTTGTAAAGGCCTTGGGACACCGGCCTGGGGAGTCAGCCAGAGAGCACTTTATATCCCTTTTAGGGAAGCCCCATGACACCCCGGGACTCCTGGCCTCCACCCTGCCCTCAAAGCTTCCAGCTGTGCCACGGGCCCACGCCCCACCAGCAGGCAGCCATCCTGGGAAGCCGCCCGCAGGGACCGGCCGCCCTCCCAGCGTCCATGGCTCCTGTCCAGGGCCACTTTGTCAAAGTGTTTCAGTTTTTCTTTACTTCTTTTAAAACTGTTTCTAAAAGGAATGGCCATTGTGTAATGGTCTGACACAGAAGCAAGTCTGATTTTTGCAGCACTAGCGGTGGACTTTGTTGTTTCTGTTTTGATCAGAACATTCCTTCTTTACTGGTCACAGCCATGTGCTCATTCCATTCTTCTTTTTGTAGACTTTTGGCCCACGTGTTTTATGGGCGTTGATACATATATAAATATATAGATATAAAATATATGAATATATTTTTTTAAGTTTCCTACACCTGGAGGCTGCATGGACTGTACGACCGGCATGTCTTTATATCGTATACAGATTTTGCACGCCAAACTCGGCAGCTTTGGGGAAGAAGAAAAATGCCTTTTTGTTCCCCTCTCATGACACTTGCAGATACAACAGATGGAAATTTTTCTGTAAAACAACCTTGAAGGAGAGGAGGGGGGGAGTTTGTGTCTCACTGAACTTATTCTTAAGAAATTGTACTTTTTATTGTAAGAATAAAAAGGACTACTTAAACATTTGTCATATTAAGAAGAAGTTTTATCTAGCACTTGTGACACACCAATAGTAGAGTTTATTGTATTTATGTGGAAACAGTGTTTTAGGGAAACTGCGCAGAACTCAGAGTGAGCTGCTCGTCTCTCTCAAGTTGATTTGGAGGAATTTTGTTTTATTTTGTTTTGTTTGTTTCCTTTTATCACCTTCCACAGGCCAGGTGAGCGCCGCCGGCCCTCACGGCCTCCTTGAAAACCAGGTGGGCTCCAGAGAGTCCCCTTTTCACACAGCTGTGTTAGCTCTTTAATTAATTTTAGGTGACGTGTGGCTAAGATTTCACTTTCAGCAGCGGTGACCTGTGCGAGCACTGTGGTTTAAAGTCACACTTGCATCGAGAGGAAACCATTTCTTCATTGTAACAAAGCTGGGCTTGTTTTCAGCTCAGCCTCACCTTGTCTTTGACATTAATTAAAAGTCTCCTATTGAAAGAAAAAGAAAGCAAACCGTTTTGTTTGGTTTTTTGGTGTGTGAGCTCCTTAGCGGAGGCTGATTTCCAGTCTTGAGAATGACAGACACATAAGATGTACACATCACATGGGGGGGCCAAACCTTCCTCACCACGAGCTCCTTGCAAACGCCGTGGAGACAGAGCCGCAGCGACCGTCCCCGGTGCACGGTTGCCTGCTGTGGGTTTGCGGCCGCCAGTCCCTTCTGTAATCTAATCCGTTTCTCTCTGACTGTACGGACCTTGTTGATGGTTCTTTCCTCCACTCTGTGGAGTTGGAGGTTTTGTGTTTGGTTTTCTCATTCTTGTTTTGTTTTGTATGGGTTTTCACCGGCCAGGGGTGCCCTGCCCTGACGACCAGCTTCTCCTTCCACTTCATGGGAGCCCAGTGTTTTGTACAGGGCACCCAACTTGTTGCTCTTGTGGTATAAATAAAGACCTCGTTACTGCCCTCCAATCTCTGGTGTCTGCCCTGTACTCACCTCATTGGCTCTTGTGTTCTGGGACCCTGTGGGACTGACCTGACAGCAGCCCAGGTCCCATGCAGATGGCAGGGTGGGAACAGCTGGGCCACAGGGATGGCCCGTCGGTCCAGATCAGAGGCAGCACTTTCACTCTGGACAGTCAGGCCCATGGGAGTGTCATCATCTAAATGTCTGATGATTTAAATGTTTGCAGTATTTCTCCCCACAGATAGCTGCATGCCATGGTAACCTGGGCTGCAAACAACCTCAGAGAAACCAGGCCAGGAGAAGGGCTGGGCTGAGCCACTCTTTCCAGTCTGAGACCCAAGTCTGCAAACCCCAGCCTCGGGCCCTGCAGCACCCTTCCCAGGCTCCCACATCCAGGTAGTAAGACTGGGGCAGGTGTAAAGGCCGGCCACCTCAGCCGAAGCTGGGACAACCCAGACCCCTCTAGCTTCATGCTCCTGAGGACGCCTGAGCCCCATAAGGTCAGCCTCATACCCCTTCTCCAGTCACAGCTCCTGCCCCGACAGGTGCATCATGAACAGCCGGCACACTAAACCCCACCCCCACTGGCCTCCCAGAAACCCAGCCTGAGGCACCCAGCCTGCCCTGAGCCCCAGAACATGGAGCAGAGCAGGAGGCAGGACTGCCAGGTTGGCCCACAGGCCCAGTGTGAGGACGTGCTCAGAGCCTGAGCCACTGAGGGTGGGGGTGTTGGCTGAGCAGCATCAGAACAGCCACTGCTAACTGATACAGGGGCCATGAGGAGCAAGGTCGGAACATCCCCAGAGCCTTTGTGCCTGCAGTGGTTATTTATGAAGACACAGAGACTGGTTTGCCCCAAATGAGCAAATCTTGCTGTAAGGGGAGGTCTCACATCTAACACAGGTGAGAAGGAGGGGACACTGGCAAAAATACCCAGCTCTGGGACAGGGGTCCTGGGGCAGGTTTTCCTCAGCTTCCTGACAAGAGGATGGTTAGGATGTATCTTTGGATCGTTTTGGAGATAACAGACTTTACATGCCACCCCCCAAGACTGAGCACCCACACTCAAATTTTGTTATAAATACTCCTAATAACACATGCTGGGCAGCACTGGCCCTCACTCTACCTCCTCCTGAGAGTAAACCCCAAGCTGGAACTGACACGTGGGGACTTGTCCATGACTTTGCATTTTCACAGCACAACGTCTATGAAAGTAAAGTTTAGTCTTTATTATGTACCACAGTGTGTCGTGTCCCCTGTAAACATCCTCTGAGTCTTGCCTCTCATGCCCGGCAGCGTGTGAAGCCACCAGGCAGACGACCTCCCTGGGCCTCCCC